TGCTTCCCCTGACAAGAGCTCTGAGCCCCCCTTACCCCATCTCAGGGTGAGGGGCTCAGGCAGCCCCTCGTGCTGCACGTGGCACGTGTATCTCTGCTCCTCTCCAGAAGGCACCACCACGGCCGCCCACTTCTGGAAGGTTCCGTCCCCTGCAGGCCTGGTCTCCACCAGCTCCATGTCCTGGGTCTGGTCCTCCCCATCCCGCTGCCAGGTCAGGGAGATCTCCGCAGGGTAGAAGCCCAGGGCCCAGCACCTCAGGGTGGCCTCACGGTCAGAGGTGGGGTGGTGGGTCACGTGTGCCTTCGGGGGGTCTGCGGGGAAGAGTCGGGAAATTCAGACATGGTGCAGCCCCTCCACTGCCCAGGAAGCAGCCCTGTGTGACCATCTGGGTGTGGACAGGACACCTGGGCTGGGGAGGGGGCCCACTAAGCCTGGGCTCAGGTGTCTGGGGGGATCTACCTCTGGGAGGTTGTGGACTCAAGGTGTGCAGCTCTGGGTAGGATCCAGGTCTGTGAGGGGGAAAACAGGGACTTATGATCCCGATGCGGATGCAGGAGACTCAGAGTAACTGGAGTTAGCTTTGACACTCATTTGCGGGGGAAGGGAGGCATGAGAGGAGTGTCTGAGATCAATGCCTGAGAGGTCAGGGTGGCTGGAACTGCAGCCAGACTCCCCTGCGCACTGCTGAGGGTGACTTCAGGTCTATCCCCAGTGTATTCCCGGAGACTGACCCTCACTGTCTGAGAGGAGGGGCTCTGGGCGAGTCAGTCCCTGGGCAGGATCTGAAAACCAGGAGGACGCTCTGGACAGAAGTGAGGGCTTCCTTATCTTGGTATCAGCCCTGATTTCTTCCTTGTTTCTTTCTCTCTCTCTGTATCTCTCTCTCTTTTATTTATTTTATTTTTCTGTGTTTTTTTTTTCCCCCGTAGGACATGCCCTCACCAAGTGAGAGAGAGACACACAGAGACAGTGAGAGGAGAAGTGAGAAATCACCCCCAGGGATGGCCACACCTCATTTCTCCTTCTCAGTCTCCTCCCTGGATTTTGGGCACACAAACGCTCTGAGGAAATTTTCCAGCCCCCTGTGTGGGTCTCGGACAGACAGTGGTCACCATGTGGGAGTCAGCACTTTACCCAGGACACCAAACCCCACTTTCTTCCCCTCCGTGTGGGACACCAGCCCCAGCAGGACAGGAGATCCGGGAACCCCCGTGGTCCCTGGTACCTGCGCGCTGCAGCATCTCCTTCCCGTTCTCCAGGTAGATGCCCAGGGACTGCACGCACTCCCCCTCCAGGAAGGCCCTGACTTGCTCAACCCAAGCAGTTGCCTCCCACTTGCGCTGGGTGTTCTGGGCCGCCCTGTCGGCCGCGGTCCAGGAGCGCAGGTCCTCGTTCAGGGCGATGTAGTCCCGGCCATCGTAGGCGAGTTGAAGGTACCCGCGGAGGAGGCGCCCGCCAGGCCCCACGTCGCAGCCGAACATGCTTTGGAGGGTGTGAGAGCCTGGACCGGACCCAGCAGACACCCCGTTAGTCCCGCCCTTGCCCCAGCAGCCCCTGAGATTTCGGCCTAAACTGAAAAGGAAACCCGGAAAGGTTCCCGCGGTCTCTTCTGGATGGTGTGTCTGGGCGGGTCCCGCAGTTCCGGGTGACGCTCGGACCCGGGAATCGGGGCGACCCCGCCCGTTCGTGGGGAGCAGGGGGTCGGGACCTGAGACGGCCCGTGCCACTCACCGGCCTCGCTCTGGTTGTAGTAGCCCCGCAGGGTCCGCAAGCTCCCTCGGAAAGTCTGTGTGGCGTCCTTGGCGATCCGCGTCTGCTCCTCCCAGTACTCCCCGTCCATCTGGTCCATCCAGGGCGCCCGCGGCTCCATCCTCTGACTCGCCGAGTCGCTGTCGAACCGCACGAACTGCGTGTCGTCCACGTAGCTCACGGAGATGAAGCGGGGGTCCCCTCCCGGCCGGGACACGGAGGTGTAGAAATATCTCAGGGAGTGGGAACCTGGGGGGACGGGCAGTGAGGCCCGGCTCATGCTCCTCCCTGCGGGCCCGGGTCCGAGCTCCATGGGGCCGGGAGGGGACGAGGCTCCGGAGACTCGAGACACGGAGGGGCGGACCCGGGGGAGACGGGGCTTCCCGGGCCCCGCGTCCCCGCCGGGCGGTCCCCTCGCTCCTCCCGTGACGCTGGTTCCCCCGACCCGGACCCCCACTCACCCGCCCAGGTCTCGGTCAGGACCAGAAGCCCCGAGAGCACCAGGAGGAGGGTTCGGGGCGCCGTGACCGCCATCCTCATAGTCCGGGGCGATCTGCACCCCAGCTGCTTCCTGGGGAGTTTATAACCGGGAGCCGCGATGGCGCTGATTGGCTCCTGTGAGAACAGGGCGCCCAATGGGAGTGAGAGCTGAGCCGCGTCAGGAGTGTCCGGGCAGACGGACCCTATAGGGGTTTGGAGAGAGAGAAGAGAAATTCAGGGAGAAGGGGACTGACTCCCCAGTGCTGGGCTTCCCCTCACCGAACTCTGCCTTGGGGACCCCGACCCCGGACTTTGCTCTGACCCTTTTTGTCGTGCACTGAGCTCTCTTTGTCACCTTGTCTCCCTGAGGCCTGGGCAGAAGCTGTCAAGTCAGCTGTTCTCAGAGGTTTCGGTTTCAGGATCTTAAATGCTCCTAGAAATTAATGAGGACTCCAAAGGTAATTTTACTTATGTGGGTATACCTATCAATATTCAGCATATTGGAAATTAAAACCATTTAAAATATTTCATTTATTCAGACTATTAATGACCCTAAATAAATTAACATAGGCATGATAACAGAAACTATATCTATGAGAAATAATTATTTTCCGAAATAAGACAGTATAGTTTGAAGAATGGATCTTTTTACATTTTTAGAAGTCTTTGTCTTAGTAGATGACCCCGACCTTTTCATATCTACTTCTATATTTAATACGTTCTTTTGGATGAAGCATATGAAAACAAACCCTTACATATAAGTATAGGAAAATTTTTTTTTAGAGTTCCTATAGTGCCCGAGCACTCGCTGAAAGACAGAGAGTGACAGAGAAATAGAAAGTGAGAGGGACTAGCAGTTAGTGTAATGGCTATGTCGCTAGACTCCCAGGTAGTCTACTGTGGTTTAACCCGGTGGGTTAAACTCAAGGCGTTTGCATGTGTGTGCGTGCCCTAGATTGTGAGAGGAGAATGGAGGAGAAGGGATTGCGGCATGGCCATTCTCCCTGGAGGGTTAATTGTCTGTCTCTGTCTCTCTCTGTCTTTCTGGCGAGTGCATGCACCCTATAGCAAAAACCTCTCAAAAAAAGAAAAAAAAAAACTAAGAAAAAAAAAAAGAAAGAAAGGGAGAAATCCCCCCCACAGACACATGGAGGGATGGCCACGCCCCAGTATACCTTCTCCTCTATTTTCTTCCTGGGATCTTGGGCACGCAGGCATACACTGGCTATTGAAGCTACTGATCTGGGACTTGAACCTGTGGTTGGTAATGTGGGAGTCCAACGACATTACCGTGACACCATCTGCTGGTCTCAGAATGATTTTCACAATGTTTTCACAATCCTGGGCATTCATCTTTAATAGTACATTAAAATGACATATGTTACCTTCTTTTAAAAAATCTCAAAAGTTATTTATGTATTGTTATTACTATTATTATATTTTCTACGGGCACCAGACAGAGACAGAGAGAGAGAGGGAAAGTGAGAAAGCAAACCACCAGGTCTGGGGCTCTAACCCCTGTCAGCCTGTGGGAACCCAGTGCCTCAATCACTAGGCCACCTACTGGCCCTGTACATGAGCTTCTTAACGGCTGATTTCCACCTTTTGTGAGGTGAGACCTGAAACAGTTCATTGACTATTTCATGTTCTATTACACTGAAATCCATCTGTCTGTCTTGCACATGGAATGGATCTTGCACTAACGCATGGTTTTCTTTTTTCCCCTCGGGGAGGTTCTCTTGTTTTATGCCTGCTGTACATCTGCTCCTTATTTTGCTCTCAATATTTTTCTTTTATTTCTCATTACTGGCCAGCCACAGGAGTGTCCACTTGCGTTATCTTCTCTGCTTATGTCGGGGGCCATGTGCTGCAGCCTGGCCAGCAGACACAGGAGTGTCCACTCGCATTATCATCCCTGCTTTCGTCGGGGGCCATGTGCTGCATCCTGGCCAAGGAGATCAGGTACCCAGAGGGAACGGGCTGTGGATTGAAAAAGGATCCACAGAGAAAAGTGAAGGTCAGGAGGACCAGGTGTCTCCGATGGAGAACGCCACCACCCCAAATGCAGATTTTTTTAAAGTAATGTGTTTCACCAAATTGTATCTCTGGTGTTGAACCTTAAATTACAAACTACTGTAAAAATTACATGTGTTGGGCCAGCAGGTGGCATGGTGGCTGTTAAGGTGCTGGATTCTCACTTGGCTGACAGGTGGTTTGAGGTCCTGACCCTGAGGCTTGAAAGTTATGCCAGGCCCGTGTGGCTGCCCAAAATCCCCAGAGCAGAATGAAAGAGAAGGGATTGCTGAGTGGCCATCCTCCCTGGAGGGTGATTTCTCACTTGCCTTCCCTCTCTGTTTTGGGATGCACACATCCTAGACAAAAACAAAAACAAAAATAAAAGCAAAACCCGAAATAACGATGACAACAAAAAGAGGCATGTGTTATGTTGTCACAGATTCCACCAGAAAAGGGTATAAGCACTGGGAAGACGTCAGGGTAACAGTGGTAAATATGGATTCTCCAAAATTCTAATCTTCTCTTGGAAGCTGTCATTTCATCATTGGCAGAATTACTCAGTGGATTATCTTGAAGGGAGAGGCGTGGCCAAATATCAAATGTCAAATGTGTAAGTGAAATATCCAAGTCGCAATAATCATACTACGTCTCTGTCATTCATTCTTTCCAGTAAAATTGCTAAAATTGAAGCTAATCTAGCTCAAAAAATTATTTCCCTGACACAAACATCCTACTCTGGAATATAGTAGAAGTGCTTTGTGCACATTTCCCATTTAGTCATGTAAGACGTTTTTTCTATAGGGCACATGTGCTCACTGGAGAGACAGAGACAGAAATACAAAGTGAGAAACTCCCCTTCATTCCCCCAGGACGGCCATGCCATAATTTCCACTCCTACTATAACAGGAAAAAGCAAAATATATATATAAATATTTAACCCTGGCTTTTGCTTTACTTTATTCCTCTTTCTTATACTTTCAGGGCTAACTGGTGCTCGTGGTTTCTATAACTAATGTAATCTGTAACTACTGTAACAAATAAGGTAAAAAATGAGTCTGTTTGCTTAGAAGAGAAAACTTAAGCCACTTGTTTTAGACAAGGTCACAAAAATGCAACAGGATTGGGTCCTGGCTAGAAATGGGCATGTTTACTAAAGGAACACAGTGCAGCTGGGATGATTGGGAAAACTGTAATAATGTTGTCATTTACCATAATAGCTACTCACAGATGTTTACATTGTTTGTTAAATAGTACAGCTTCAAGAAAATACATTGTAGCTCCCCTTAATCTATCAATTTATGTCACAAGTCTGAGTTAACTGATTCAGTGTCGCCATAAGAACAAAAACAGGGTCCCAAATGTGATGTGAAATGAAACAATGCACAGGATAATTCTGGGAAAATCACGAGGGTTAGAGGAACACGGATCTAAATTTATGTTTCACAACAGATAACAGTGGATAAAGGAGAAGTGTAATGGTACGTAATGCTCTGGAAATTTCTGTCTGGGAGTTGGTTATGGTCTTGGTAGCTCTCGGCCACTCCCTGTGCTCCGACACAGCTAAGTAAACTCGTTTCTCTCTGTTTGCCTCTCGATTACTCGCAGAGATGGCTACTGGATTTTAACTGGCAACACTGCATTTTCCTCTCATATTTTGGACACACACACACACACACACACACAGAGGAGTCCAGTGTGATTTTTCTGCTGCCAGGTCTGGAACTCTGAAGCAGGTCATCTGGGACCATTGGCATTACCTCCACACGCCACCTGCCGGTCCTGAGGTCAATAATTTGTAATTACCTAACCAGGAAGTGCTGAAGTGAGACTGACTTTTTTTTTCTTAAGTTGTGAATAATACAATAGCTATGATTGCAGTTTTTTTAATTTTTTAATTTCTTTTTTATACATTCAATTACCATTTTTAGCTTACAAAGTGAATATATCACTATGTGAATATTTCTCTCTAGTCCAGTTGATTGAACTATAAAATATCTTCAATAGAAAATATCATATTTCTTTGTCCCATTAATGCTTTGCCTCCCTATTTTTCTTCTAAGTGTACTTCCTCAGACCTTACTCTTTCACACACACACTATATCTGGTATTTACATCCATTTACTGTGTTTCTAAATCCTTTAGTCAATCAGTTTCAGTCACAAAGTGCGGACACTCAGTATATATTAAGTGGGGGACATACAATGCCTCTCTTTCATAGCCTGGCTTGTTTCACTCAGCAGTAAATCTTCCATTTTCATCCACTTCTTGTCAAAAGACAGGGTTTTGCTTTTTATGGATGAATAGTATGCCACAGAGTATATGTGCCAAAGTTTTTCTATCCATTCACCTGTTCATGGGCATTTGGGTTGTTTCCAAGACTTAGCAATTGTGAATAGTACTGCAATAAATATCAATGTGCAAGCACTTTTCTGATTAAGTATTCTTTTGTTCGTTGGGTAGATACCAAGGCATGGGATTGCTGGATCATATGGTAGTTATATTTGTAGATTTTTGAGGAATCTCCAAATTGTTCTCCACAATGGCTGGACCAATTTCCATTCTCACCAGCAGTGTAAGAGAGTTCCCCTTTCACCACACTCCTTTTAGCTCATTTCATTTTCTTTTTTTAAATCTTAGTCATTCTGACTGGGATTAGATGGTATCTCATGTTTTGATCTGCATTTCCCTTACGATGAGGGATGTTGAGCATTTTTTCATATGCCTTTTGGCTATTCCTATGTCATCTTTAGTGCGTGTTCTTTTCAACTCCTTCTCCCATCTTTTAATAGGGCTGATCATCTTTTTTTCCAAACAGCTGTTTGAGTTCCTTGTGTGTTCCCATTATCAGTCCCTAATCTGATGCATAATTTACAAAAATATTTTCCCATTCTGAGGCCTATTGATTCTGTGTCTTTTGCCATGCAGAAACTTCTTAGTCTGATGTAATCTTAGATTTAGATCCTTGATCCACATTGACTTAAATTTTGTCAGAGGTGAGAGGTAGGGGTTCAAATTCATCTTTCTGCAAGTGGAAATCCAATTTTTCT